GCGCTTGCTGATTTCAGTCTTCAAGGTGCATGTGTTCCGCGGAAAGAAAATCACATATTTTTCTATGCCTTTAAAAAGATATCATACAGACTCCACAATATTTTGAAATGGCTGCGGACTATTTTGTACATTTCATGAGGAGCAGTGGTAAACGGACGGGTGCGATGCTATGTGAATGGACGTTGCGCGGTTTTAAAAACTCTCGTAATTTGAAACTTTTTAAAACCTTATAATACTACTTCCTTGAGTATAAACTATCAAGAAGACGTGATTTTCTATTAAATGACTAAAGGAGAATATAGTTTTGTCCGTGGTTTCTCTAAAATATATTTGAATTTGCAAGACCATTAAAAATGTGTGGGATAAGTGCATGCTAATTAAGTAGTCACTTTTTACCGAGTACGGTTTCTACAAGAGGTTGGAAAGCCGTGTATTCAAAAGCTGACATCCTGCTAAGAAAGAAATAGTATCGGATTATGCCGCAAGATAATCCGTATTACAACCGCGTGCAAGTAATCCTTCCTAATCGAAATGACATTTCAGAAATCACGTTAACATTTCATGAAATCGGTCACTAACCTTAAGTGCAAGGGGGCATTGAGCTAAAGTCTGGGGACGAGTAAGGATTAACGTTGGGCTTAAAGCTAGGATAAGGAGGGCAAGGGTTGCCTTTAGGGACAGTGATAAAACAGAAGGATAGGCTATCTGCAGCAGCGTACACACTTATTCCAACCCCAACAATAACATTTTGAATTTTGAAAGTTCCCTAACTCTCTTCCTCCCATGGTGACACGTAGCACTTTTCAAGGACTGTGACCCCGCCTTAACATCGCAACATCCAAAATCGTCTGTGCGGTTACCCTGTTGATCGGCAGTGATGAGACTGCCTTCGTTACAACGACAACTTCCCATCCGATGTAACTTCTCCTCGTGCTTTGCGCAAAAACTGGCAGCAAATTGTGCATCACATCCGCTTTGAGCAGGATTTCTGACAGCGTCTTTGCAGTACCAGGGTTTCAGCCTAGCTTGGAGTGTCACTTTTTACGCCGACCATGAAAAAAATTCGCAAAAAATTGTCCGGTTGAAAGGGAAACAAAAACTCCTTTTTCTCTCTTCCGGATTTGGCAATTAAGACAACGTAGTTATTGCTGCTCCGGCAGTGCAGCGGCCTTTAATTATCCAGAGGCAGTTATCTGTGTCAGCACGCATAGTCGGGTGTCTGCAACGAAGGGTGAAAATACGTATTAGTGGATTGGAGCGAGAAGCGACAGTTTAATCTGTAAAGTCCTCTGCACCGTCGTATATTGATCATTTGGAATGTTCCAAAAGTTTCGCTAACGACAGTGTGGCATCTGTCACACTGAGACCGGTGGCAAGAGAAATTCGGAACGACCGGAGTTGAGAACAGCCGTAATGAATGACAATTTCAGACAGCCCGTCTACGCGAGCCACGCACAAGCCGGCCGACCAGCAGTGGGCAAAGTTTTCACAGGAACCGAATCGGATCCCAACGGACAGGGAGTGTCGTGGAGACCACATTCAGGAGGGATCATCGCGACCTGACTGTCAGTCCACCAGATAGCCAATCAGCGCACGAAGCACTGACCGCAAGGATCGACTGACCGTATCAGTTGGCAGCTTTTGAAGCAACGCATTGAAGTTCATCGCGATAATTTCGAACGCTTCGAAATTATTATGCCTTTTTCCCCTTTGTCTTGTCCCAGTCGACCGTCGGAGTCTGTCAATCAGTGGATTGGACAAAAGGGACTGACACAGCTCACCAGGCCGTCTGCGCACACCAAACGCAAAAAAGAAGCAGGGTTGTTTTACAATGCGCAATCCAGGAAGTGACGTTGGCTTTTAGGTAAACACATTCGGCTTGTGATTCGCGACAGGTAACGCAAGCACGCATCGATAGCCTCTTTGCAACAGCAAGTGAAAAAAGACTCGTTCTAAAAACTGGAGTCCAATTTCACGTCAAGGTCATTTTCCACTTGACGTCCTTAAGAACCAACCTCTGAGTATAATCATTTTTCAAAGGGATACAGTGGGTGAGTTAGCTCATGAAATGTTAACCGAAATTTCGAAATGCGTTTTCGTTTCGAAAAAATTACTTTTGCGGTGTTTCAAAATTCATCACCATGCATCATAATTCTATAATAATTCAGTTATCTCAGAATGCCGGCTTTCGAACGAACATCTTTCCGAACGTATGCAAACCCATAATGAAAAAACGACTACCTATGTTGCATGAATTAATCTCATTGATTTTCGATGCTCTTTCATATTTCGTTATATTACACGGAAAACATGCATAAAAGTATCCATTCTTTTACTCATTTGATAGAAAGTTACGTCTTCTTCCAATTTTATACATGGGAGAAGGGTACAATTCGATTTTCAAAAGCCTTTCCAATTCCCAAATAATTTTGAACACGAGCTGTCATTACACTTGCATTCAGGGTGTCCAAGCTACAAACCATATTTTTTTCTGCGTACGGAGAAGCGTACATCTCTCTAAAATATTAGGAGGAGATTTTATGGGTTCATAAAATTTAGCGGTGGATTTGAGCCATATTGTAAACTTTGCGAGCATTATTAGCAAATACGGAGACACGATGTTTTATGAACGGGTATTTCACGGTATTAAAACATCTCACAGTTAGAAACCTTTTTAGAACCGCAGTATACCCTTCTTTCGAGCATAAAATTGGAAGAAGACTTAATTCTCTGTCGAACGAGCAAAGGAATAAACACTTCATGCATGTTATTCATGAAATATAATTAAATTTTTAATCGAAAATCATTGAGAAAAATGCATGCTAATTAAGTAGGCATTTTTTACAGAGTGTGGTTTTTCACACGTCGAGAAAGATGTTCGCTCGAAAGCCAGCATCCTGAGATGGCTGACTCAATATAGAATTATGCTACACAATGATGGATTTTAAAATCCCCCTTTAATAATCTTTTCGAAAGGAAAACGCATTTCGGGATTTAAATTAGCATATTCAGTTGATAATTCACGACGGCAATTGCAAGCATGCACCGATAGCGCCTTTTCGACAGGAAGTGTAAAACAGATCGTTCTAAAAACTGGAGTTTAATGTTACATCAAAGGCACCCTCCACTTGGCTTCCCTAAAAGCCAACCCCTGTGTATAATCGTTTTTAAACGCGATAGTTGTAAGTGCGTTTGAAATGATTGTTACTCGGCTGACCAACTTCGTATGCTGCCGAACAGCTGCTCCTGGGTGCCGAAAGGCAAGAATTCTTAACTATGTTTGCATTCTCCCGTACGAAGATGCACAGAATACCTAGTGCCTTCTAGGTTCGCAAGGAGTTACGAAAGACAGACAGGCTTTGCGAGACTAGAAGGCCCGCAGGCTGCTCCACACGCACTGGAGGCTCCGGCGCGAAGTGCATGCGTGCGCCTGGACTTGGTGCGATCGCATCCATTTGTTGAAGACATAAACACTGATCAGCCTCACGGTGTCAGCAAGCCGAAGGTTACGTCATCCGCGCACCGTGATTGACAGGAGTGCTAATTGGACCAAGGGCGACGTGGTTAGGCTGCGCATTGACGGTAATCAGAGCGGACTTCCCTCGTACTGCTTCTCGATGTGCGTGCAAGATAACACTTAAACAGAGGCGTTGCTTAAAGAGAAGTACGCTTTAAAATGAATTAATTTTTGCCTACATTCTTTAGAAAGTTCATCCACGAAGATTATTTCAACTCAAATTCTGCCGTGCGCCGAGGTCCTCTGTTATGTGGCTTTGAGAGATTAGTTCATCTAACCTCCGAAACTCCGACAAGGCTACCATGTGCATACACAACGTAACAAGGTTAGTTACTACGAAGGAAATGCGGATTCCAAAAAACAAATGAGAAAGAGAAGTGCCCATTAAAGCAAGACCCTTGGGACAGTTCGACCATCGATTTCGACGATGTCCACCGTGTGCCCTACAGCTGCAGCAGCGGTGGGAGCAGGGACGGTGACTTGCGCAGGGGTTTATAGTGCCGGTAGACTTGCGCTGCATCTACCTACACTCTCTCCTCCTCCCCCGTCTGGGTCCGGTGTCAAGACAGAGTCAAGAAGACCAGAGACGAGGGAGGCCGCAGGTGGATGGCTCGGACGGATCCTCGCCTCGGCGCTCCACCACACCCCCTGGTCCACACAGCAAATAACCAGGATTTTAACCGGCACAACAGAGATTGGAGGCTGCCACGGCCGAAGCCGCACCTAGGCGTGCCGCCAACGCTTGGCTCGGATCCCACACTGTGGTGGGAGCGCCATAAAGGCCACATTAAAACGGAGCCATTGCAGCCTGACTCTCAGACCGCCTCCGGTCAAAGAGGAGATCCAAGATACCCCGTCAGTTGGCAACCTTCCAAACCACGGCTTTTAGCGCACCGTGATAGTTTCAAGCGCGTCAGATTGTTTATAGTGAGGAGAAAGTGCGCTGAGTCGTCGACCTCACTCTACATTCCCACTCCCACACCCCAGCAGCTGTCCGAGACGGTCAGCAGACTGGAGTGGGAAATGGGCGCGGTGGCTGTCATTGTCGACTGACCATGACTGCGCGCGCCACGGCACGACTTGGCCCCCCATACACACAACACCAGGATTTTGCACAACGGGGGTTGAGCGGCTTGTCTCTCACTTTCGTGAGAGGGCCGTGGAAGGTACTGTTTCAGCCCGTCCTGAGCCCACCAGTCCGCCACTCCACGCAACACACACACACAACGCGAGGAACTGCGTGAACCGAGAGCAGGCGTCAACCAGCAACCTTCCTATCCACGACGCTTGACGTGTCGGGATAGTCTCGGTCTCAAGTCACCCGTGCAGCCGAGGCCGCATGGGGACCGAGTCGTGTTGCACACTTCCCACTTGCGTGGGAGGTGGCAGTTGGGTGCATGAGGTGTGTGAGTGTTGATGTCTAGTGGGGTGGTGGTGATGGGAGGTAGGGAGTGAGTGAATGTGTGGTGTGGCCGGCGATTGTCTACCGCAGGTCGTCGTGGATGCGCATGTGGCCGAATAGGCCCATGCGATGCCTAAAGGTGCGAGGGCAGTGTGGGCAGTTGAGTCGAGCGTGGTGGGTATAGGTTGGTGCTCCAGGCACTGGTTCGCCAGTCTCTGTGCGATGGATTCGCAAGTGACCGACCAGGCCGATGCGTGAGGTGAATGTGCATGAACAGTGTGGGCATGTGATGTCGGCGTCGTCAGTGTCAGCTCCGGAGGAGGCAGTGATGGTGGTGATGGTGTTGGTGGTGATGGTTGCGCACGGCAATGGAGCGAGGGTCGGACTGGGCCCGGTGGATGTGCTGGGTGTCGTGAGTGTGTCGGAGTTGCGGTCAATTCCGCTCTCGTGGATGCGCATGTGGCCGAAAAGGCCCATGCGATGGGCAGTGTGGGCAGTGGAGGCGAGTGCGGCGGGTGTAGGTTGGTGCTTCAGGCACTGGTTCATCAGTTTCTGTGCGATGGATTCGCAAATGACCGACCAGGCCGATGTGTGAGGTGAAGGTGCGGTCGCAGTGAGGGCAGGTGTACTCCTGATCCTCATCGCTGGACTCGGGGGAGGTGGTGGTGGCGGTGTCGGTTGTTGCGCGCGTGACAGTCGCCTGAGCGGCCGCCGTTGGAGCACTGAAGGAGGAGGAGGAGGAAAAAGAAGCGGACGGGGGACGATAGTTGATGCAGTTCGAGAGGCGCAGTTAATCCAAAGATGTCCAACAAGTCCGATTAGAGCTTGGAATTTTTGGAGTCTAGTTTACGAATGATCTCAAAAACGTTACTAAATTCGAAGTTTTCAGCTAGAAACGAAAATTTGCGTGAACGAGCATACCTGCAAAATAATGTGTGGAAACCGGCAGAAAAAAAGTACAGGGGGCATTGAGCTAAAGTCTAGGGAGGCGTAAGGATTACTGTTGGGGTTAATGTTAGGATTAGGAGAGCAATGGTTGCGTTCAGTGTCAGAGATAGGACAGAGGGATAGGCCATCCGCAGCAGGGTAAACCCTTATTCCAACTCCAACACTTGCATTTTGACCTTTGAAAGTTCTCTGACTCTTTTCGTCACATAATGGCAAGTGGCATACATGTAGAGGAATGTGGGTAAACTGAGACTGGTCTATGTAGATGCAGGAAAAGATGCATCGAGCACAAGATTGCCTTCCCGGATGTTATCCGTCCTAAATGCATGCCAGTTTGCTGTGTATTGTGGTTTCTTGGTAACATGATGACACGTAGCACTCTTTAAGGGCTGTGACCCCGCCTAAGCATGGCAGCATTCAGAGTCGTCTGTGCGATTTCCCTGTTGGTCGGCAGTGATGAGACTGCTTTCCTTACAACGACAACTTCCCATCCGACGTGACTGCTCCTCGTGCTTTGCGCAAAAACTGGCAGCAAATTGTGCCTCACATCCGCTTTGAGGAGGATTTCTGACAACGTCTTTGCAGTGCCAGCGTTTCAGCCTAGCTTGGAGTGTCACTTTTTACGCCGACCATGAAAAAAAGCCGCAAAAATTGCCCGGTTGAAGAGGAAGCGAAAACTCTCTTTCCTCTCTTCCGGATTCGGCAATTAAGACAACGTAGTTATTGCTGCTCCGGCAGTGCAGCGGTCTTTAATTATCCAGAGGCAGTTATCTGTGTCAGCACGCATAGTCGGGTGCCTGCAACGAAGGGTGAAACTACCTATAAGTGGATTGGAGCGAAAAGCGACAGTTGAATCTGTAAAGTCCTCTGCACCGTCGTTTATCGAGCATTTGGAATGTTCTACAACCTTCGCTAACGGCAGTGTGGCATCTGTCGCACTGACACCGGTGACAACAGAAATTCGGAACGACCGGGGCTGGAAACAGCCGTAATGAATGAAAATTTCAGACAGCCCGTCTACGCGAGCCACGCACAAGCTGACCGACCAGCAGTGGGCAAAGTTTTCACAGGAACCGAATCGGATCCCAACGGACAGGGAGTGTCGTGGAGACCACATTCAGGAGGGATCATCGCGACCTGACTGTCAGTCCACCAGATAGCCAATCAGCGCACGAAGCACTGACCGCAAGGATCGACTGACCGTATCAGTTGGCAGTTTTTGAAGCAACGAATTCTAGGTCATCGCGATAATTTCGAACGCTTCGAAATTATTATGCCTTTTTCCCCTTTGTCTTGTCCCAGTCGACCGTCGGAGTCTGTCAATCAGTGGATTGGACAAAAGGGACTGACACAGCTCACCAGGCCGTCTGCGCACACCAAACGCAAAAAAGAAGCAGGGTTGTTTTACAATGCGCAATCCAGGAAGTGACGTTGGCTTTTTGGTAAACACATTCGGCTTGTGATTCGCGACAGGTAACGCAAGCAAGCACCGATAGCCTCTTTGAAACAGCAAGTGAAAAACGACTCGTTCTAAAAACTGGAGTTCAATTTCACGTCAAGGTCATCTTCCACTTGACGTCCTTAAGAACCAGCCTCGGTGTATAATCATTTTTCAACGTGATACAGTGGGTGTGTTAGCTCATGAAATGTTAACCGAATTTTCAAAATGAGTTTTCGTTTCGAAAAAATTACTTATGCGGTGTTTCAAAATTCATCACCATGCATCATAATTCTATAATAATTCAGTTATCTCATAATGCCGGTTTTCGAACGAACATCTTTCCGAACGCATGCAAACCCATAATGGAAAAACGACTACTTATGTTGCATGAATTAATCTCATTGATTTTCGATGCTCTTACGTAATTCGTTATATTACATGGAAAACATGCATAAAAATATTCGTCCTTTTACTCATGCATAAAAATCATTCTTTTACTCATTCGGTAGAAAGTTACGTCCCCTTTCAATTTTGTACATGAAGGAAGGGTACAATTCGATTTTAAAAAAGCCTTTCCAATTCCCAAATTATTTTGAACACGACTTGTCACTACAGTTGCATTCAAGTTTTCCAAGCTGCAAACCATATTTTTTCTGCGTACGGAGAACCGTACATCTCTCTAAAATATTAAAAGGACATTTTCTGAGTTCATAAAAGTTAACGGTGGATTTGAGCTATATTGTAAACTTTGCAAGCAATATTAGTAAATACAGAGACACGATGTTTTATGAAAGGACATTTTACGGTATTACAACATCTCACAATTAGAAACTTTTTAAGAACTGCATTATACCCTTCTTTCGAGTATAAAATTGGAAAAAGACTTAATTCGCTGTCGAACGAGCAAAGGAATGAACACTTCATGCATGTTATTCATGAAATATAATTAAATTTTTAAGAGCATCGAAAATCATTGAGAAAAATGCATGCTAATTAAGTAGACATTTACTACAGATGTTCGCTCGAAAGCCAGCATCCTGAGATGGCTGACTTAATATAGAATTATGCTGCACGATGATGGATTTTAAAACCCATCTTAAGTAATTTTCTCTAAAGGAAAACGCATTTCGGAATTTAGGTTAGCACATTCAGCTGATAATTCGCTACGGCAAATGCTAGCATGAACCGATAGCCTCTTTTCAAATGGATGTGTAAAACAGCTCGTTCTAAAATCTGGAGTTTAATGTTACATCAAAGGCACCCTCCACGTGGCTTCCCTAAAAGCCAACCCCTGTGTATAATCAATTTTAAACGCGATAATTGTAAGTACGTTTAAAATGATTGTTACTCGGCTGACCAACTTCGTATGCTGCCGAGCAGCTGCTCATGGGTGCCAAAAGTCAAGGATTCTTAGCTATGTTTGCATTCTCCCGTACGAAGATGCACAGAATACCTAGTGTTTTTTAGGTTCCCAAGGAGTTTCGAAAGGCAGACAGGCTTTGCGAGATTAGAAGGCATACACGCTGCTCCACACACACTGGGGGCAAGTCGTTTAAGGCTCCGGCGCGAAGTGCATGCGTGCGCCTGGACTTGGTGCGATCGCATCCAGTTGTTGAAGACATAAACACTGATCAGCCTCACGGTGTCAGAAAGCCGAAGGTTACGTCAAATGAGCACCTTGATTGACAGGAGCGTTAAGTGGACCTAGGGCGATGTGGTTATGCGGGCGCGTTGACGGCCGTCAGAGCGGACTTCCCTCGTACTGCTTCCCGATGTGCGTGCAAGATAACACTAGAACAGTGGCGTCTGCGCACACCAAACGCAAAAAAAGAAGCAGGGTTGTTTTACAATGCGCAATCCAGGAAGTAACGTTGGCTTTTAGGTAAACACATTCGGCTTGTGATTCTCGACAGGTAACGCAAGCATGCACCGATAGCCTCTTTGCAACAGCAGGTGTACAACGACTTGTTCTAAAAACTGGAGTCCAATTTCCCGTCAAGGTCATTTTCCACTTGCCGTGCTTAAGAACTAACCTCGGTGCATAATCATTTTTCAACGGGATACAGTGGTTGCGTTAGCTCATGAAATGTTAACCGAAATTCCGAAATGCGTTTTCGTTTCGAAAAGATTACTTATGCAGTGTTTCGAAATTAATCACCATATATCATAACTTTATAATAATTCAGTTATCTCAGAATGCCCGCATTCGAGCGAACATATTTCCGAACGTATGCAAACCCACAATGAAAAAATGACCACTTATGTTGCATGCATTAATCTCACTGATTTTCTATGCTCTTACATATTTCGTTATATAACATGGAAATCATGCATAAAAATATTCATTCTTTTATTCATTTGTTAGAAGGTTACGTCTCCTTTGAACACGACCAGTCATTACACTTGCACTCAGGGTTCCCAGCTACAAACCATATTTCTTCAACGTACTGCGAACCATACATTTCTCTAAAGTACTAAGAGGAAATTTTATGTGTTCATAAAATTTAACGGTGGATTCGAGCCATATTGTAAACTTTGCAAGCAATATTAGTAAATACAGAGACACGATGTTTTATGAACGGGCAATTCACGGTATAAAACATCTCACAATTAGAAACTTTTTAAGACCGCATTATACCCTTCTTTCGAGTACAAAAGTGGAAGAAGACTTAAATCTCTATCGCACGAGCAAAGGAATGAACACTTTTATGCATGTTTTCATGAAGTATAATTGAATATTTAAGAGTGTCGAAAATAATTGAGAAAAATGTATACTACTTAAGTAACCATTTTACCGAGTGTGGGTTTTGTACGCGTCCGAAAATATGTTCGTTCGAAAGCCAGTATTTTGAGGTACCCGAATTATTATAGAATTATTCTGTATGATTAGCTGTTTTAAAACCATACTTATTAATCTTTTCAAAATGAAAACGCATTTCGAAATTTAGATTTGCATATTCAGCTGATAATTCACGACGGCTAATGCAATCATGCACCGATAGCGCCTTTTAAACAGGAAGTGTAAAGCAGCTCGCTCTAAAACTGGAGTTTAATTTCACGTCAAAGGCAGCTTACACTTGGCGTCTCTAAGAACCAAACCCTATGGAAAATCCTTTTTAAACAAGATAATTGTAAGTGCGCATGAAATGATTGTTACTCGGCTGACCAACTTCGTATGCTGCCGAGCAGCTGTTCATGGCTGCCAAAAGACACAGTATCTTAGAATACCTAGTGCTTTCTAGGTTCCCAAGGAGTTACGAAAGGCGGACAGGCTTTGCGAGACTAGAAGGCCTGCAGGCTGCTCCACACACACTGGGGGCAAGTCGTTTAAGGCTCCGGCGCGAAGTGCATGCGTGCGCCTGGACTTGGTGCGATCGCATCCAGTTGTTGAAGACATAAACACTGATCAGCCTCACGGTGTCAGCAAGCCGAAGGTTACGTCAAATGCGCACAATGATTGACAGGAGAGCTAATTGAACCTAGGGCGCATTGACGGCAATCAGAGCGGACTTCCCTCGTACTGCTTCCCGATGTGCGTGCAAGATAACACCGGAACAGAGGCGTTGCTTGATGTGAAGTAGACTTTAAAACGAATTAGTTTTTGCCTAGAATCATCGGAGAGTTCATCAACAAAGATTATTCCAACTCAACTTCAAGCATACGTTGGGGTTCTCTGTTATATGGCTGTTAGAGACTAGTTCATCTAAGGCCCGAAACTTCGACAAAGTTACCATGTCCATACACAGCTTAACAAGGTTAGTTACTACGAGCGAAATGCGGATTCCAAAAAGCAAATGGGCAAGACAAGTGCCCATTAAAGCAAGACCCTTATACTTCTGACACTTCAATCCTGTACAGTGGCACGGATGACCGAACACGTGAGCGGTTGTGAAGGCAAATGGTGTCAGTTCGCAAGTTGCGACTCTATTATCGGGAACCGGCCAATTTCAGCGAGCCAAATTACGGAATCACTGTCCAACCAGCAACCAATGTAGTTTATGCTATTTCGACAGTGAGTCGGATGGTGGAAATTAAGCAATTACTGCACAATGCGCAGTCATTTGCGGAGAGTCTGCAATGACGAAACAAAGGCACTCTATAAGTCGCGCAGCCCTTAAGCAGTCATCACCCATATCTGGCGGTGTCTCTGACGATACATTTGAGTGAGAATACTAGACTCCAGGCGAATGGGACCTTTGTTTTTGAGAGAGAGAGAGAGAGGAATTCGCCTTATTTTCAGCAAAAAACTGGCTCCATTCACTATGGGTGGTATGTTCCAGCCAACTTATCTCCACTTCAACGAACCCTACACTTTTATATTAGTATCCTTATTTGAAGTAGCCCTTCACTCCGTTAATTACACCTACAAGCAGGAATTATACTGGCTGATTGGAGGTTGGTGGAGGCTTCGGATTTTATCCAGGCTACACTGCAGACCTCACGAATTGCCAGTAGTCGATACATTTACCATTCCTCTGCCAACTAAAGCAGCAGCATAGGGGGCAAAACGTTGTTTAGAAGAACCGTGCGGTGCATCGACAAGAAAACATTAACGACAAACACGCAACGGCCAGTTGACATAATTTTAATCTCCACAATTTAAACATATCTTATGGCAGAAAGCCCTACATATGCAATTTAGTCAATTAAAAAGACGCTGGTTAGGAGAAATAGCTAACCACTGGCCTTTTCTTCCACATGGCGTGCTCTACCCTCCACGTAATCGGAGTTGCCGTTGCCATCAGGTGCGAATTAATCAGTTCTCCCTATGCCTGCCACAGACAGCTGTCCCCCTTTTGGAAGCAGATCAGACCGTCTGGACACCGATTTACACATGAATACTCCATAATTTAGCATAAGGCTGTTATTGAGAATAGTCGAGTAGACACACGTTCATATGAGGCTACTAAAATATCTTTAACGCATAGAGTATATGCAACACTTACAAAGATTAATTTAATTTTTAAAAGCCTCCTTTGTTTAAAGGTACCCGTGAGCCTTGCAATTATCCACATGGAGAAAATCGATACGCTTAAGAACTAAAGCTAATAACAAATGTCAGCTTCGGATACTTTCAGTCCCTGTCAGGCTCAAAGATGAGATTTGAAGAAGGAAAATCCAGTGGGAGGTAAAACTGGTTTAAGAAACACCTGCACACACTGTGAAAAGGGCATATCTGCGCATTATCCCGTTATCTGATCTAGTGCCAGGACTGTAGAGAAAAATCGCAAAATATTTCCATATTTTTGCCTTAGTTACTCGGCTTCTGCCAAGCTTGGGTGAACTCGACGGGTCTGGTTAACGGTGCTCCCCTCTGATTTCCACGCCTAGATAACCGCGCGGTTTACTTGCGTGGCGATATCATCAAAGCTATATCCTGGCAGCAAAATGTGAAGTTTTGATCCAGACTGCCATTAGTCACGAGCAGCAGTAAATCTTCCCCCCCTCCTTATATATCCCGCCTCCTCTTATTTTGGCGACCTAGTTTTCATCCTTCATTCCGCCTGACCTTCGTAATTGCAGGAACAGACAGCGCAGGCAATGCGGCAGACAGTCATCTATTTCCCCCCTAAGGTTGCCCGCTCCTTACTTCGTACCAGTTTGATTCACAAGTGTTCAGTGATGAACAACGACCACGGATGTGGCATGCTTTCCCTTAAATGACAGACGCCTCTCAGGCCACGGAACGAGCCGTACAAGACCGCAGATAATATAGCCACCGCAACACACAGCCAACTGGCATGCATTATTGATCGATAACATCTTGTGTTGTCTGTCTCATACCCCAATGTATCTGTTCCTGCAACTAAAGTGAGCGACCAATCTCATGAAATGTTGGCTGAAATTCTGAAATGAGTTTTCGATTGGGAAGGATTGCTTGGGAGCAGTTGTAATACTGATTAACTTGCGGCAAATTCCTATAGTATTTCAGACTTGACAAGATGTCAGCTTTTGAATGCACTGCTTTTCAACCTCCTGTAGAAACCATACTTAGTAAAAGGTTACTACATAATAAGCATGAGTTTTTCTCATTGAGTTTTAATAATCTTGCAAATTCAAATATATTTTAGAGAAACCACGAACAAAAATATGCTTTCTTTTAATCGTTTGATGACTAGGTTTTAAAAATGTTTCTAATTGTGAGATTTTTAGGACTGCGCAATGTCCATTCGTATTGTATCTAAACTGCCCGTTTGCCACCGCCACTTATGAAATGTACAATATAGTCCACATCCATTGCACAATTTTTTGAACTCTTTATAATACCTTTTTGAAGGCATGGAAGAATATGTGGTTTTCTTTACACGGAACGCGTAGACCTTGCAGACTGAAATGGCTAAGTGCTAATGCAACGACTTAACAGGTTCTAAATTATCCGAAAATTGTAAATCTTTTTGAAAACCTAGCTATAATCCTTCTTTGTGTAAGGAAACATAAATATGAGGTGATTGCGTATCAGAGGACTAAAAGAAAGCATATTGTTCTTCGTGGTTTCTCTGAAATATATTTGAATTTGGAAGACCATCGACAATCAAGGAGAGAAATGCATGCTAACTAAATAGTCATCTTTTACTGAGAACGGTTACTACAGGAGATTTAAAATCGGAGCACTCAATAGCTGACATCCTGCCAAGTCCGAAATATCAGTGGATTAGACCGCGTGATTATCACTATTACAATTGCGCCCCATCCTCATCGAAAACATATTTCAGAATTTCAGCCCACATTTTATGAGATCGGTCACCCACTGCACATAGACCAAACCAAAAGAGACCCCGAGACTACACTGCGTGAATAAAGGGAGGCGGAAGAGATGGAAAGCGATGATTTGCCGTGGGTCGTGACTGACCTCATTGTCTGGCGGCTAATCACACTCCAAGTATTGCCGCCACCCTGACGATCGGATGAGCCAGCAAGCGAAATCGCGCATGCCGTGATCGAGGCATGGGAGCCAAGAGAAACATCGCTAAACAGTAACATCGAGTTCGCACAACCCTACCAGGTAGCATCTGGTAGTTTCCAAGCTGTAACATAACAAAATCGATGGCGACCAAAAAAGATTCTTTGTAGTGGCCGCATAATCCCGACACCTTCTGCAACGATGCGCATCTGTAGAGGCCAAACGATTTCCGGCCAGTCAAGGATGTCCTAATTGGTTAGTTAACTTTCAGGCTGACCCAGATGTGCCCTGGTTCAAGGAGTCCTTTAACCTGATCCGGAGACGCCCGAGATAGGCCTCCTGCCCGGGTGCTAACTTGCTCCAACCTATTCCTCATTAATTTTGCACCGAATGCAGTGTTCCCGTCCTTGGTGCCCAGCTTCTACTCTTCCCATTCGAAAGTGGGCCGGCAATTCAGAGTGTCTGGGGTATGCATATGACATGAAGTAATTATGACATGAAGTAATTACGGTACGCGACTTATCTCATGAAAACTGGTGACAGAATCTAATATGAGAATTTTTGGACACCGTAGCCAAGCGCATTTTGCTCGCTCGTACTGTCTCTTCAAGGAAATATCCTTATCTGGAGCAAAAATTGCGTCTACGTAATTTTATCAAGCAAAATGTTTATAAATTTGAACGAAAGTGGGCGTTGCTTATGCTAATACCTAGCCTAGACTTCATTTACGCCTCTGAGCGTGTTTTTCTTTGAAAGAACACTAATTTGCCCATGAAAGTTCTCCTATGCAGAGCTTGGCGCACGGCAAAATTGATTTTCTGTCCGCTGCTAACCGTGGGAATTAGTTTGCTAGCACACAAGTTACTTTTAGGGGACCAAGAATTTTGTCGATTTCTAAAATTCAAATGAACAAATCTATGCGATTTCATAATTTGAAGTGCACTAATAACGCATAAAGAGAATTTTTTGCTTAAATGAGCCGAAATTGTTGTTACATCAGAGTGGCCATTACCGAATTGTCGTTTCCCGTTGTGAAAATAAGAAACCTTACTTTACGTGCCGTATAGTTTTTCATGCGCGTAATTTAAAACTGGATGAAACAAAATGTCAGGCGTCTTCAAGAAAAATAATCACTATCCATGTAAGCACTGTAATGCATTCGCAATCATAGAACACAGCCTTGAAAAAAGAAAGGACGGTAAAAATACAAAGAGAAACAGAAAGACATTTTCTTCTGTTTGGGATAACAAAGATCAGCATGTTCAGATGACATGAAAAAAACGGTCAAAAGTGTCAGATTTGTCTTGGCTTCATGGCGTAAATATTCAAGTACACAGACATCCATCGACGGACTGCAGTATTTAAGTACTCTTCAATAAGTAAACTTATTAGAGAAAGTTTGCCAAGTTATCGAAAGCATATTCGTTATTGAATTTTGTTATGGACGTTAATTTTATTCTGCGATGAAGACTGATGTTTGGGTGAGCCTCCAAATGTGCCTTAAACGACCAACTACAAGGAAAAACGCCTAAACACTCAGGACATTGGTAATCTGCTTTATGAAATATCTTATTTTAAGGTTCTTAACTAACACAATACAGAATCTGTCCTTATGTACAATAGACTGAAATCACTGAAAGTCTTGAGGTATTCAGCGGTATTTCAAGAACGATTTGAAGCTCGGCGTAGCGCAGGACAAACGGAAAATGGAAATTTTTCCCACGCAAGAAATGCCTCGTTATGTACAGAAAACGGTTTGTTTACGATCACACCTGCCAATTCTATTTAAATTCACTTAACACTAACCCGCCTGGAAACATGAACCCTTATGAAAACGTTCATTTCTGTGGCGTCTCTATCGGAATCCTGTTCGCTTACTGGACTGCATTTCGGTCACTGAAGAAGCGTCAAAAATGCGATGTGTTTTCAAGAAACTGATTTCAAATCCTTATTTACAATGCAGGCTGTTGGTAAACCGCCATACCTAACAATACACTAATTCACAAGGGATATTTAAATGCAAACTTCACTAAAAACTATCGTTAAACGTTAATTTATTTTTACTGTCACATTCAATCAGTGTTTTGCATGTAACCATTTTGGATGCTTTCGGAATTTTCTACTTATCTGAAAAAATAGGTATTTATAAACAACGTAACATTACCTTTGATATTTCGCTCATATTTTTAAAGTTGCTGTTTATTCAAATATAATGTGAATTTAAGCGTTGGTGTCGATTTGCGAGTGATTACCAAACATTCAAACATTCCGACACCTTTGGTCAGATAGGGCAAGGTCATTGTATGTGATCACACTCAGGCAACAAAAATCTGGACGTCGTGACACACCACGTCCTCGTCTTTTTTTTAATTGACGGTTTGCGTTCTCGTAACTAGGTAGAATGTACAGCAGGTAGGCTAACTCACGAAATGTCAATCGAAATCCCGAAGTGCATTTTCGTTTTGAGAAGATTAATTAAGTAGGGTTGTAAAACTAGCCAGTCTCCAACATAATTCTATAATATTTCAGCTACTACAGCTGCATACAAAAACCATACTCTAAA